AAAAGTGAGAAGAAGAGCATATGTTAATTGTAAACAGTCAATAAGTTTGCTAATTTAACAGTTTTCTACAAATATTTGCTGACTTGGTTGAAATTCGTTTTAAAATAATGCCTGTAATACTTAGCAATTGCTCGAATTCGAGCAACAGGGACACTAGTATAAATAAAACTGGTTGATTTATTTCCTTTGGTGGTGTCATTATTGCAATTTTATCAGACAATGAGTTTGAAGTATTAAAAAAAATTGTTAAATTAAGTCAACTATGTAAATTTAAAAAGTTTACTTTAGAATCTGTCTACAAAATCAATGTAAGATTTTTAAATGAACAATGAATTTAATTATTTCTGTAATATTAATTACAAGTTTTATAAATAATTTATTCTGCTTAATTTGCACTCGAAACTTTAAACAGATAGATAGTTTAAGAAACCTTTAAGACTTTACCATTCATTTGATAATGAAGTTAAGTAAGTACCTGTATAGTTTTGTAGACATTATTTGGAGAAAGAAGTGGAATGTGTAAGTGATTGTATTATAGATTTATTGGTTTTATTCGTTATTCGTAAAATAAGTTTAAGTGCTTCTGAAGCGTTTGGTCGGAATGTCCCCAATGTTGTAAATATGTAATACGTACGAAACAAACTGCAGAGTCTAGCGTTGTAACAGGGTAACTGGAATATTCAGTGCTAACAGATGAGAATTCAGAATACTCAAAGAAATTCATTTCCACAAGATCCTCTTTAGCTTTATTTAAATTATCAGCCATCGATAGCGACATAGATTTATTTAAAATAATAGTGGTTTTTGTCGTTTAATACTAAGTAGTGATACTGATAATGTGTTTTATTCCAGATTTATTGAATACCATTATAGATACCGCAAGTGGTTGTTTTAACATAACAATATTACAAAAGTGTGCATTTTATTCTTGATTACCAATTTTGGAAATAGTATAGGTATTATATGCCATTGTGAAATTGTAAAATACCCTTTAAAATGTGCATCAGTCTTTTGAAATTTCACAATGCCTGAGTACAAAAGACAAGAACTGATCGCGAAAAAGTTTAAATTTACAAGATTTTAATGTTAAATAATCTATTTTGTGAGTTAGATAAGAAAATTTATATAATGCTATGTTTATTGTAAATTTCAAGTATTACGCCATTGAATAAATACACTTCACAATTTGCACAGTATATTTGTATGTGTTTCTATTCCCTTGCCTTTAATTTATAGTCCTTTTAGGGCAGATTTCAGAGTTTAGGCAAAAATACTTAGAAACTTTTGATAGTTCTGAATTAAAATAGTTCTAGACTAAAAATCCTGTTTCAGAGTTGGGAAATATTTAATGAGAGGATTATCTCAGATCAGAACTAAATTTGATTTGCTACTAAGTCAAGGAATTATGTCAGGAATCACAGGGAAATTTTGTTTTTTCAGTGGTAACACTAAGACTTGGCGGAAATGTATAGTACTTCACTTCTACAGTGCAGTGTTCCGACCAAATGACCAGTCTTTTGTCTATTTATCTGCCTACCAACTCTGTACCTTTAGTAGTCCACAGCCCAGTCAATGTAGGTTGTTTGTTGGGGATACTTAAGATCAAACAAGGTAAACATAAGTTGATAATGCACACATACAAGTCTCCTAATATTCATAGATTTACCTTTTCCCTAACATATAATGTGAGGAATTACGGAATATTAATACAATTATTGTATATTTAAATTTGCAAATTTATTGAATTTTATATACTAATGATTTTCAGAAGAAATCTATAGTGTAGTCGTAATTAGGTTGAAGTTGATCATCTAAATTATATTATTGATATTGGATCCCTATGAGGAAAGTTACAAAATCTTGACAATGATATAAATTAACAATTCAGTTTCCACCCAAAATATTTTACATGTAAGCAATTCAAATAGATTATTATCTAGTCATTATTGTTGTAATTCTTCTGTAGCTGTAGCCTGCCAGGCAGGTCGTGGCAACCAAGGTGAACTTCTTTTCATATCCAGCTACTTGTACTTGGGGATAAGATTCCAGTGTTCAAATTGGTTTGCTGGCTTGTGGGTAAAATTCCGGGTTGTACATGTTGAGTTGAACTCATAAGGAGAATAAAATTCCAGCAGTGCACTCTTGGTTTTTTTTTTATAATTTAGTCAGTTTTGGTTATACTAATTTAAATTTACAACTGACAAGATACATTTAATTCCACCTTTAATTTATTCAACTCTTGTTGTGCAACTCAACAGTTTGTTAGCCAAATTTTACCCTCTTGGCTGTGATGTCAGTTTTGCTTTGGGGGTAAAATTCGCTACCCCAAAAATAGAAGCAAATACAAGACCAAAAACCTATTTGCTGATGCCATTTTACAAACTGCTTCCTAGAAATAACTTGATTCATCAGTGGGTTGGTGACTAGGGTAAACACCCTGGTGAGCACTTTTTCACCTCAAATTAGTTGACGAATATCGAAACTGAAAAATCGATACTTTTACAGCTCGATCGTTTTTAGAATTTAGTACATCGCGATATCGATAGTCCACTCACACTTCACTCCATCTATCCATTCCCATTCCCGTTCTCCTTTGACTTGTGTCGTGTCTTGACGACAGTTTGAATTTAATAATGGTAGATCATTAGGAGAGAACATAAAATTGTAGCGCCTAGAGACGAAATGTCAATTTTTTAAGAGAATACATAAATTTGTTAATACCTTACGAACAAATTCTTCTTCAGTTTCTATTTATCAGTAGATAGTAATGGGAATAAAATTCATTGTCAACAGTTGAAAAGCTTATTGCTAAGGTTATGTTCATTGACCAGAATTTGTTTGAATCAAAACTGAATATCATCAGATGGAGGCCATTTATATTACCTAATTTGTATTATTATTGTTAGTATCAACCCAGCTCTTGAAAAAAATGCCAAAATTCCTGCTTCCTGAGAGGGAGTGTAATTTACTCCCGAAATTCTGTATTGGTTGATAGGCCTACTTACAAGTAAGTAAGTATTAGTTGAAATGGAAGCCTTTTAGTTAAAATGTAATTAGTTAATTAATTTATTAAATGTTTGTTAAATGTAATTTTTGTTGTTGTTATTTATGGCGACTCTTTACAAGCGCAGAGTAAAAATAACCTTTCTGTATATCGGAAAATACAGAAGCTTATTGAATTACTACATAACTTTTTTACATAATACAAAATGTTTATAATTTTTGCAATAACTACGAATTTTAACAAACATAAAATAACACAAGAATATCCGGAGGAAAATAAGAACAGAAACACGCTTTATAATCTTGTAGCTAGTAAAAAACACTAATTTACCGATACGATTACTCTAAAACAATCGAGCAATCGAGCCAACCGAGCGGTAAAAGTATCGATTTTACAGTTTCGATATTCGTCAACTAATTTGAGGTGAAAAAGTGCTCACCAAACACCCTAGTTTAATCAGCTGTAATCGCTGCTGTCTGTGTGGCTGTCAAACCGCCTCATCGGCGTTTCGGTCAGGGACATCAACCCGCCACCACAAAAAAGCCGATATGACGATTGACGTGGTGGCGGCTTGGCGTTCCCAACCCAATGACAAGCTGCTAGGAGTCAAGTCACAAACATGTTTACTTACCACACAGTAAATTTGACTATCACATAATAAAAAATATATATTAATTTTGATTAGAGTAGGTTATTCAATATAGAATGACACTGGAAGTTGCAAAACATTTAATTCTTCACTTTATTACGGTTAGCATTATGCTATTAATAATGTTAGTAATTCTGGATTCATTGTGCTGTGTGTATGAACCATTTTATAGTAAGTCACCGAGTAGGGAGTTCATACATAAACTGTGTCCGTTTCTTTTTGGTGTCTTTCCAACCGTTTAGGACATAAACATGTGTGAAGTCCAGTTTTGACGCTTTGAGACATTTATTGTCGCAAACGGGAAAATGGACGCTGCATGATTTTTACACTACTGTATAGCACAATTTCATAACTAGTTCATCACATATGACGTCAGACTATTTTTAGATGCATGATTTTTGACGAAATATGGTGCCTCAAGACGCCAAAGGGTTAGGAGCTATGGGACCCTATTGTAAAATTAAACAATGTATTTCAAAATAGATTGTGAATACCCATCTAGAACAAAGAATAGTTAGGAGCATGTTCATAGTTTATGCTCCAAATGGGCGAAGATCATTATTCCAAGTTAAAATAAATCCAAGCACAGTGTGGAATTAAGTTACAACGTATTAATATATAGATTCCACAATCTTTTCATGTATTAACCTAGGTTTTGCCGCCGAATTTTTAAAGTGCGTTAAGCATATGACGATTGTTTTTTTTGATATTTTTCTAGGAAACAGTAGGAAAACTTAAGTGTGTGCATACATTGAATTATTTTGTTAAAATATTTAATTTGTCTACAAAATGTAATAGAAACAGCAAAAATAATACATCTTTATTTTAAAAAAATGCCTTCTATATACAACATTATTTATTCTCATCAAATTCTATATCTGGCCAGGAGGCCAGGGGGTAAAATTCCGGTGGTTATAATCCGGGGATAAAAATATAATCCTGGGTACGGAAAATCCGGGCAGTACACTTTAGGTCAACCGTGAAAAGATGTTTAATTCCACCTTTAATTTAATCAACTCATCTTGTGCAACTTAAACGTTCACGGCCACAATTACCCCTAGGCTGTGATGCAAGTTTTGCACGGGAGGTAAAATTTAACTGGGAAAATTCTGCTATCCCAAGAATATAAGCACTTTAGACTGAATTGGAACTGAAGTAACAAAGCCATAACAGATATAATCAATGCCACAATTTAGTGTTTTTTCTTCACTAGAACAGAGTAGTTAGAGGCTTCATGTAACCATACTTCAAACCATACCATAAACTTAAAAAGGAAAAAATATGATAAGATAAAGATAAGATGAGGTTAGGCAGGCCTAGGTTAAGTTAAGGTTCGGTTCTGTCAACGGCAACGGGAGCAGAGGCTAATCTTAACCACTTTTCCTTTTCACTTTTGTTTTCAAAACTTCACTGCTTAAAACCACATAGACAGAACTAACTGATTGTGTTGTGACTTGTCGATAAAAAATATTTTCTGAAGTCCATCAGTGACATTATTATTTTTTACTCTTACTCGCACAAATCATGACTTTAGAGGTAAGAAAATCCATTAAAGACGTTGGGTACAGTTTCTTAACTGGGCTATGCTAATATCGATTGAAACTATCGAATTGAAAATATTGATTAATAATCGATGTTTTTAAATATATTTATTATCAAATTAAACTGTCATAACCTAACCTAACCAATCAAACTTGCTGATGGTTATCGCATGAAGGTTTAATAATCGAATCGATAGTTTCAATCGATATTAGCATAAGTTAGCCCAGTTAAGAAACTGTACCCAAGACGTTTTCCTTAATATCTACCGATACAAATAAGGCCTAACTTACTAACTAAAAAACGAGGCCCTAGGCCTACCTCATATCCTGCGTTTGTCAATACTTTCTTTAAGTGTTCATTCTATTAAAAAAAAATAAAATTAATGTCACAAGCTTACAGTGTTTATCTGAGTGATACGACTGACTTGTTTTCTAAACCCAACTAGGCCTCCATTTCCAAAATTTTTAATATTTCTTACATTTACTAGCCTGTATAAGTTAGGCCCTAGGGTCAATGACTCCAGTATCACAGTGGTCTAGTATCAACCTGCTCTAAATAATAATCTGTACAAACCAGCCAGCCAAATACCGAGAGGAAAGCGGAAGGGCAGGTAATCTTGACGCTGGAGCACCTTATCAATATTGCAATGCGTGTGGTTAACAGTGTCAAGGATGATAGGCCTACATTTTTGGTTGCATGAAATCCCCGCTGTGACCGCCTTGTTACTACCAGGATTTTAACTGGTTTGGCTGACCCCTCTACGGTTAAATGTAAACCGTTGGATGAAATAGGCTATATGAGATTAATAATCTGAAACTGTTTCTGTAGTACTAACTTGACACTGATCTCTACAGTAGGCCTATATTTTAGCTCAGTTTTGTAAAAAATTATCTAACTTAAATAGGCCTAACTCTATAAAGGCGGTCACACATTATCTACGATGTAAAGTTACACTGCAGATGCCCAAGAAACACTGCTGCAGATGCCTGTGATAGTCGCACAGCACAATTTAGACCCAGTTCTTGTCATTTGCCATGTGTATAAGTCCAGATAAGCCCAATGCGCATCTGTGAGGCCACAGACATAATGTTACGGCTGTTTCCAATCGCTCGGCAAGTGATCCATCAGAAGCTTCTGTTGGAATCCGCAGTGTATGTCTGCGGCTGTGTGCTTTGCTCCATTGTGAAGTGAACATAATTATACGGTGCAGACGGCAGTGTGGCATGGCTGTAAGAATGTAATGAAGTGAAATTTAGCAACTTGTATTAATTAATGTTATTTTCATCCCATTGAAATTTCATTTTGTGTCTATCTAAGTTACTTTGAAGACAATCACTAAAACCACTCGGCTATCCAAACTATTTGTACTAAGCACTAGTTTCACTCAGTTTAACTTAGCTGTACTTTTAATTGACTTCAAGTGTAGAGGAATACCTAATAAAAATGAGTCAGGAAAGTGGTATTTAATACTTATAATTTTTTTTCCAGAATGAACATCCAAGAAAACTGATTCCTTCTCTTTGTAAACAATTTTATGATCTTGGCTGGGTTACGGGGACAGGAGGAGGCATAAGCATCAAACATGGGTAGATAAGTTGTTTTAAGTTATCATGAACTGACTAAACTACTTAGGTTAACACTAATACTGAAACCCCGGTCTGACAGGCACACGGGAATTTTCACAAACGCATGTTTTCAACACTGTTCACTTGGGAGATTCCATTCCCCCAATACCTTCCCCCCTTTTCCTCCCCTACCAATTGATATATCGTTTGTTCATTTTGCATGGGTGTCGTGACCTTGGCAGGTTGTCTGTTCATAACATGGCAGTCTCAGAAGCCCAGCTTTAGTGTATTTTAAAGCGCGGTCTCACAGGCCGAGGGTTTCGGTTTGTGTGTTTCTAAGCGGGGTCCATTATTTTTCAAATGGGGTCTCACAGACCGGGGGTTTCGGTTAACGTCAGCCTATATAGGGTTTCGGTATTAGTGTTAAACTACTTTAGATCAAACTACTTAGGCTATCCTAGGTTAAATAGCTTTGTCGTCAAATAATGAGGGACAGCAAAGTAAAGGGGTTTTAGGATGGGTGTACCGTATTCTAAACCTAAGTCTACGAAATATTAAGTTACATGTTTTTGTTTAAGTTACAAAATGTATAGACTTAGACACACTAATTTATTAGTTGTTATAGGGAAATTAAACTTGGATATACAGTAGAACCTCTTTAATCCGAACCCCCGTAATCTGAACGTCCACTAACCCGAACGCCTCATTGCTGTACTCTATACACAGAACAGTAGTTATTCATTGGATACTGTATTTATTGGTATACGCACCATAATTGTTTCTATTGTAATGTAGGCCTACAGTAATTTTTATTCTCTATGTTTACTACTGTATTAAATAAAGACTGTATTTTACTTTATAAAGCATTTTTCACTTTTCCTTAGCAATTGTTATGTAAAAACAACAATATGTTCTGTAATCCACACTATTCAATAGTCCGAACTATTTCCGGTCCCAATTAGTTCGGATTAAAGAGGTTCTACTGTAGATGCAGTCTAGTTCAAATTCCTTAGGTATATGAATGCACTCGAGTATGAGAAGTGATAAATGAGTTTTTAACTAGGCTACATTATTCTGCAAAAAAGTGAATATGCTTTACTATATTTGTAATTTTAAAGTAGTACTTACCAAGTTTGCACAGTAAAAAATGAAGTAAAGATACCATTTCTTGAAATGCCCATTAATAGGTTAAACATTCAAAACACACACACACACGTACACACTGAAAACAATACCAAACCTAGTGTCATTTAATGGTCAAATTCAACAAGACTATAAAAGTTAAAATTCATACAGTAACGAACATCTGTATGCTAACATATTCCTGTTTAACCCTAGAAAGGTATCGTCATACAGCATGGCGCTAAGGGTATCAATACGTAAATTTGACGTACTGCCGGCTGTCTTACCATACACAAGCCGGTCATTTTACTATACACAAAGGGTATATTGACACGTAGGTTTGACACATGTGTTCCAAGAAACTGACTTGCAAGTGCATAAAGAAACACACTACGACCCAACCAAGGCAGCCATCGCAAGGAAAATGACTGCTGAGAGCACTGCCGGAAGGAGGGTATTGTCGGTTGAGAGGGTGGGGGTGAGACGCTAAAAATAACTCGCACTACTTCAAATTTACGTGCGATACTCATCTAGGGTTATATGGTACCTGATTTATCCTATTTCTTTTTTTATTCCAGGAAGGAGATTTATATTGCACCATCTGGTGTACAAAAAGAAAGAATTTTGTCTGAAGATTTGTTTGTTCAAGATATTGACGGTAATGACTTAGAATTGCCTCCAAGTTCAAAAAACCTCAAGAAAAGCCAATGCACTCCTCTTTTCATGTGTGCATACAAAGGTTGGTAGTTCACAATGTTTAACTTATATAACCCCTGATGGACAATTAGCGCATCTTCTGTGTGAAGTTGCTGGTCTTCCACTGCACGGAGGCTTCTCAGTACCTCCTTTCAACAGGTTCAGTAAACTAATTCAGGAACTCCCAACTATATGATGAAGACAATGATGATTTTGGTAATGACAATGAATCAAGCTGGGTTTAAGACAGCCTATGTTTCCTCCTTAATGTTTAATTTGTTTCTAGAGGGTTTTTGCCAAAACAGTCTTGACACCTAGAAGCTTTGGTGCACATAAATAATCAGCATTCATTTTTCTGGCATCAATCTCAAGTAGTCAGTAAAGATAAAAAAAAAGAAAATTGTGTGCGTGTGTAGAATAATTCTGATGTGTTTCAGCTCGCAACGCAGGCGCAGTAATACACACACACTCTAAGGCTGCAGTAATGGCAACTCTGCTCTACCCAGGCAAAGTTTTCAAATGTACACACTTGGAAATGATTAAGGTAAGATGTTACAACAAATTAGCTGTGTTCCCGTCCTACTCACGGGAATCCAGTATTCGGTAAATATTGTTTTTGATTCAGAACAGCGGGTTTAGAATTTTATTGTAGAGGAAGTGTAGGTGAAAACCACATTTTTGTAAAATGTTTTATGAATTAAAATTGTACCTAACATTTTCATCTTAGATAACCCTTTTGCTTTATATCTTTGAGCATTGATAGAACTAGATGTTGCATTTCGATATTAAAAGTTGCAGTCAGTTTTAGAATGACAATGTACGTAGTTGGGTTCAGCCACCAACAGAGTGGGTAGATGTTAATTACTGATTTCTGTAAAATCTGATGACCTTAAAAGCAAGCCAAACAAAAAAAAATTAATTCCTCTCAACGATAGCATCTGTTTATGTCACTTAAATTAATATAAAGTATACAAAAATAAGTCACTAAATATATAATCTTTACAGTGGAATACTCTGTAAAAGTCACTAATTGAAATATGTCCTAATTAAAATAATCTTTGGATTATGTATGAGATACTTCCGTACCAGTATCCTAAGGTCAATGCTTCAAATAACTGAAATTATTTCTTTACCATCAATGTCAATTTTACAAATTATCTAATAGGGCCTATATAAAATTCTCGTGTCACAGTGTTTGTCTGCAAACTCCTCCGGAACGACTTCACCGATCGTTATGAAATTTGGTGTGTAAATTCTGTAGGTATGCGAATCGGACGTAAACTATTTCCCGTTTTGAAATTCTTAAAAGGGCTCCGCCCCAGTGGCTCTGGAGTTTCCCATGTTAACCTTATGAGAAATGGAATTAATGAATCTTAACAGCTGTTTCAATTAAACAAGTTGGTTCTGTTCTATGATGTTCAATAGCATTAAAGTTACAAGGATTACCAACAGGGTGCAGTACTATTATTTCTTTTACATTTATGACAACAGCTAATTTGCAACCAAAAGGTGAGTGAGCGTAGCGAACGAACCTCAACCTGGAGGCGAGTGAGCGTAGCGAACGAGCTAACCTGAAGGCAAGTGAGCGCAGCGAACGAGCTCCAACCTAAAGGTGAGTGAGCGTAGCGAACGAGCTCCAACCCAAAGGTGAGTGAGCGTAGCGAACGAACTTCAACCAGGACGTGATTGAGCGATGCGAACGAGATCATCTTGAAAATTAAACGTAACGGTACTTTCTTTTCATCGGTCTGTCTTAGGGGAAACCTATAACTTAGGCAATACGAAGTTCGCCGGGTCAGCTAGTCTTTCTATAAAAATGTGAATTAAAAAAAATAAAACCACTATGGATAAACTAAATCAACAACAAATCATCTACATTTCAGGGCATAAAGAATCCAAAGCTTGGTCGCAACTACATGTACGACGAGATGTTAGTGGTGCCGATCATTGAGAACACGCCGTGGGAGGAGGATTTGAAGGATCGGATGGCACAGGTGATGGAAGAATACCCAGAAACCTCAGCTGTGTTGGTGCGCAGACACGGCGTCTACGTGTGGGGCGATACGTGGGAGAAAGCCAAGACCATGTAAGAAACAAAATAGTATTTTAAATGTAGTTACTTTTGTTTCGAAAACATTTAAATATTTAGTTATATGTGACTATAATGAAAAATCTTTAGTATATAATTTTTTATCAAAGGAGAGAGAAAAAAATAATGAAGCCGTTTGCATACCGGTACATCTGAACATTTTGTGTGAGAGTATTTACGAGTGTGTAAGATTATGTTGAGAGTCTCCAAGAGCATGCAAGGTTATGTGAGATTATTCTATCTAGAATATATGTAGATGATGATACTTTGAAATGAAATGGCGACCATACAAAGTGTGAGATTATCCTAGGGTTTGAATGATGAATGTGAGTGTTCAGAGTATAAAATATGTGTGGTAGATCAATGTGAGAGTATCCAAGCATGGAACATAATTGTGATAGTATCAAAGAGTATGAAAGATGATTGTGAGAATATCCAAGACTATGAAAGATAAAGGTGATAAGATCCAAGTGTATGAAAGATGAATGTAATAGTATCCAGAGTATCATTTTGAGAGTATCCAAGAGTATAGAAAATGAATGTGGTTATAAAGAATATGAAAGATGACATATTCCAAGTCAGCTTTGAAAATTGAGTAGTTCCCTAAATTATAGTTTAATTTTGATTTTATCATCAAACTCCATTAAAGTATGTTGGGTTTCAGGTGTGAATGCTACGATTATCTGTTTGACATTGCAGTCCAGATGAAGACTGCTGGACTGGACCCAACAATACCTCCTGCTGGTGTGGATAAATTATAACTTCTAAGGGAAACTGAATGTATCATCTAAAAGAATAGCCTTTTAGATAATTGATCTAGAAACGTATATGGAAGTAAATGGCTACATAAAAGTGAGATGAGCCTTAAAACCTATAAAGCAAATGTGATAATAATTATACACACAGGATAACCCGAGTTCTACCCTTAAACATTTTTGGTACACATTGTAAAGGTACTACTAGTATAAGTGTTTTGCAAAAAAATCTAGATCTTTAAAATATATATATTTACATTGTTGTAAAACTGATTAATTGGTTAAATTGTATAACTGATTCATAAAATCAACAAAAACTTGTGAGGTTTACCTAGTCAATTAAAAAATGTTTTATAATTTCATGACCTCCTCTAATGCAAGGCACACACTGGAACCCCATCCCCCATGCGAGGAACATTTCCCTCATATTTCTCCTAGCGAGGGCCGCAGTCCCTGCCTACCAAACCAGCTGTAGCACTAATTCATATTGAGTCTAGGAAAAGCTAATGTCTACATGTTTGTTATTACTACTGTTATTATTTTGACAAGTAGGCCAGTTTGTGGCATTGCCAAACCTTATACTGTCCTTGTATCAGAGGAGGCTGTGATATTTTATGATTTAGTCCTTATCATATCATGTTAATTTAAATTTACAATTTTAAACATATTTTTCTTCTTTATAAATTTACTCAGGGAGACAGTTGGTATTATTTGTTCATGTATTGTATGTTATACTTATAAACTAAATGGGAAATAATATATTATGTTTACAAAAAAGAGTTTTTTTGGCCCACTAAAATGTTCTTTGACTTCTAGCAATCACAAATTCTCTGAGTCAGTGACATACACTTGGGTTCGTATTTTAAGCTTAATATGATTGCAAGGTAAATAGAAGGGAATTAGATGATATGTGTAGCTTTCTTGTACTAAGTTTCTCCTAAAGCGTAAAGTACACAAATTTTATTATTAACAATACAAGTTGCCAAGTGCACTATTTTTCAAGAAACCATCCATGCACTTGATAGCTAAGTAGCTGTCGTGCAAAATCCATGTGTTGAATGCAGTGTCATTTTCCTGTTCAGCTGTAGTAGTCAACTTCTCCCTATAAACTGAGACTCTTCGTTCATAGGCTATTTAAGTTAAGTATTTGCACCATGTTTACTACTTCGTCTTACCAACACTTTCCTATTTTTCCGTTTTGTGTTGTTTAGAACCGATTCCTCCGCCAACCTTACTTGTCACTAATGCACAAATGACTACAAGTAAATTTGGCTAGTTAACAATCTTTTAAAATCTGGTGAACATGATAAGATGATTAGGCTCAAACCTCCCTTAAATGTTGGTGCTACAATATTTTTGTGATCAGTTTGTATACAGGTTGTTTGAGAAACAGTATAAGTATGAATATATTATTACAAGTGTTATTTGACATATTTGTTGTACTTTCAGGTAAGGAAAAAGTAACTTTTTTTTAAAAATATTCAATTAAAAATATCTTTATTCATCTAACAATACAGTCTAACTACCTACCATAAAATGTATTTACATTAACTTGTATAAATGACTGTTAACATTATCGCTAATGTTTTCATACTGCCTTGAAGTGCCTTAGAGACTCAACTGTCTTAAAATGTCATCTACGGCTGCAGCAAAGTTGTCGACTGTATGGTAAGGCGGGGGATCGATCTTGTTTTCATCTCCATTCCGGTATTTTCCAGTTTTCACAAGATATCCTCGCATCCCCAAGTCTTGGGCACCTTTAATGTCATCTCGAACATCCTGGTAACAGATTAAAGAAATTTAAACTATAATTTTGTTGTATGTATAACTTAATAAAAAAATGTGTGTATGTATGTTGTATGTTACTTAGCACTAAGAAAATGAATGACGAAATAGTGGAACTAGGGGACTCTTGTTACTAAAAGAATGAAACTATGCCAGTTTTTTGACTGAGAACCTTTGAACCAGTGACAGTTTCTAGCTAAAAAACATATGAGAGGAGTGGATTTGGTTATTTACGGCACGCTTACTTTATCAGTTAACTAACCAGATGAATAATAGGCCTACAGTAAACTCTCGGTTATCCGCAGTGCATGTAGGTAAACCAAAACATTATTTCAATAAAGTTACTAAACACAAAACCGCAATGTAAATCGTAAATCCCAAATACAGTACAGTACAAAACTTGTACAGTAGTTCAGTATTACAGTACAGTATATCGGTATCCACTGTACGTGGTGTGTGCTTGAGCAGTTTTGAGTGCTACCAGCGGCACTGCAGATTCTTTGTTTAGTTGTCGCGCGAGTGAATCACGTGACCGGTGAGTAATCTGTGCAAAAGCTAACCTGTGTTACCATTTCAATTCACTGAAATCATATAATTATATAGTGATTATCCATAACTAATTGTAGCTAGTTGTATGTTACTAAATACAGTGTAAAATGTAGCAATTATACTTGCATTAAAACAAAATATAACATTGGGAGGTTAAAACACTGCTTAATTTGTCAATAAAACGTACATCACCAATCATAATTGCTTCTGATGGGTCGACACCTTCTAGACCAGTACAAAAGAACTCGGGACAAGGTTTTCCGAGCACTTGTGCCTTGCAGTCTGCGGCATACTCCAACCCCTTGACAAACGGACCAGGACCAAGGGCGAGTTTTCCATCGTCACCTTTGAAGTACCGTGCTTCGTGAATTGCGATGAGCTTGGCACCATTTAGAAGTAATCTAGACGCAGGATTTATTCAATCATTGAATAAAATGTTATTGTACATAATTTCTCCTGGATAGCTTGTGGTAGTTTCTCCTAGATACGTAAAAAGTGGACACATGGCAGTGACAAAGTATATCTTGATACATTTTAGGTGGCTTATCAACAAAATTTTAGGTGAAAACTATGTACCTTAAAATTAATAGATAACCTCTGAAATAATTGTTAATTGTTTGTATTTTTGGAGTGTGTATGCCTCTTGGACTTGACAAAACTTTATAATTTAGTCCTAAAGCTGTAGCCTAAATGTTCTTCATGACTTCAAACATTATTATATATAATTTTTTTACTAGGTACCAGAGAAAACAATATGAAAAGTTTATGGAAAAAATAAGTAAATGAGCTCAAAAACTCGTAGAAAATTTAACATTACGTTTTAACTTGTAAAATATAATTTTAGCTGTAGTAATTATAATTCCTTACCTAAACGCTTCACTCAATGTTTTATATTCAAAAAGTTCTGGAGCAAGCCCCACTACTACAGCATTAGGTTCTCCTTCAAACTTATCTAAACCTGAAACACCAAACAGCACACAACTAAGTTGGTTCAATAATTATAACAGGATCTAAAAAAAACCTGATTACCAGGGAGTTTCCCTCACCTAACTCATTTATGGTTCACTTAATGACTAACTTAGGCGTGTCTTCTTTGTGTTTAATTTCCATTAACTCAGCCGTATTTGTATATTTCCCACCTAGGGTGGAAAAGGTTTTACAGGCTTTAAATTGGGTTAGAAGTTATAAAAGCTGTGATTTAATAAAATTAATTTGCCAAAAGTGGACATTTTCAACCTGGATTGCTTTAAGTTAATGTGTCATTCAATTTTTAAATGAAGTCCTCGAACAATTGTCTCTCTTACATTAAGTGACGTTCAAGAAGAAAAAAAAATGGGAATACAACAGAAATTAAATAAACCTAAGAAAAATAGAGGAACAACTACCTACCTTGAAAGTCTTCTAGAGCATCCGGACTGATGAGCAGAAAAGGTTTCAAAGATTGACTTGACACTGCATTCTTTGCTGCCCACAGTGAGCTCCATATCTCTTCAATCTTCAGTTGAAAGCCTAGTTTACAAAGCCTTTCATACAAACACCTTCGAGATTCCTTGGTGGTATTAGTAACAAATTTTATTTTGACATTACTTTGTCGTAACCTAAAATACAAAATAGTTGATCATTGTTTGCTGTAATATTTTTAATATATAGGGCCTATAATACCATATTAAGTAACAATATAAAATGGGTTGAGGATGAGATGGTGTATTAAAATAACTATGGTTAATGCGGGCCTTCTTGCCTGGGTATTGTGAAGGCTACAGTTGCTGGAAGAACGTCAGCTCTGGGATGTAAAAGACAAAATTGTGTGTCAGGAACTACAACCCCAGCCTATCATCAAGCTCAGGGGGGTCCGACAGACATAAAAGCACATTTCTTCTTCATTGAGAGACAGACCACACCCTCACTGACAAGACCTCAGATCTTCAACTCAAAGAAATGTGACAAAAATTTGTTTTTGGAGGTGGTGATTTGTTTGCATGATGTAAGTTACATGATACTTAATACATTAGGCAAGTAACCTTGGACACACTTGTTAACTACAGTATGTTTAGGCCTTTATAGAATACTCGGAAGGTGTATGAATCTGGGGAGTGGAAATTTTAGACAGAGATTTTCTCCCTGATCCTTGTATTTCCCCTATTTTTGGGGTAAGACAGTCCAATCCTCATACACCCCCTATTTTCGGGTTGAATAATTTAATGGAACCATCTTTAAATAACATGTACACCCCCTACAACTCCCTTTTTTACTTCCAGTACCCACCTTAATATTTTTTTTAAATTTTGGTAGAATAATTATAAATAACTTCTTGATCAGATTAATTACATTTTGCTCAATACAAATACACCATTTATGTACAGTTTATCTTGCCCACTTCTCCCGTTAGGAGGCAAACCCCCCTTTTCCTACATATTTTGATATTGGGAGTTTGGTATGCTGCAAAGATGTGGAAGGATGTGAAATGGGGACTGAAATTTTGTCCAACCCTTATATTTTTGGGATGAGAAATTCACACACACCCATTCGCAAACACCCCCCTTTTGACTTAGGGTGGTAATGTACTTGTGCTTATGGCTCTGGGATTTGGTATGCTGCAAAGATGTTACGGTAGGGTACTGAAATTGTGTGTACCCCCAATTTTTGGGGCAAGAAGTTCAATGGAGCAATTCCCATCCTACTACCAGTCCCCCTTTTTGACTTATAAGGGGAGTAGTTTATTTATTTATTTATTTATACGGTGAACACCATTTTTACAGTCAAGTAGTGTAGCCTACATGTACAGGCTATGATGGCTCTGGGGAGTTACTATAGTATGTTGCAATGATGTTAGGGGACTGAAATTAAGTGTACCCCCTCTTTTTGGGGTGAGAAATTCAATAAAGAACGCATAGAGCATGTGATCTTGACCTGCCCCCCTGCCAACAGGAGTTCCTGCACTTGACAATAAGCGATTCAAGTCAACGCTACGCCAGTGTTTACTCAGTCGACTAGGTTGTACTCCTGGCAAGAAATGTTTGATTTGTAAATAATACCGCCACTCCTGCCATTGTTGCTTAGTTGTATAAGTTATGTAACTTATAAGTTAGTGTTTTTTTAAATTATGTAAACTTAATGCAAATAGACACAATCTATCCAACCTCATTAGGTACTTAATTAGGTCAAAGATGAAGAATCCAAGTAAGTTAATCAAATTGGTATTTATTAGGCAACTTTGAGGCCTACTTGAGAAGTTATTGGATCGGACACGAGTACAGTTTCATAACTGGGCTATTTAAATATTGATTGAAACTAAGTTATCGATTTGCTTGGTAAATGTTCATTTGATTTTTGTCATCAACAGTAAGTTTGGTTTGGTTATTACAGTTTCATTTTATAAGTTATAAATATAGATTATTAGGCTAGTCGATATTAGCATAGCGCAGTTAAGAAACTGTTAGTTAAGACCGCGAACACTTCACCATCCTTCAGAATTTGACTTGAAACATAGCTTAGCAAGAATAATTTTATAAAAACTTACTGGATTAAAATACTCTTTGCCACGTTATTTAGTTAGGCTTTTAGGAAACTGAAATTTGGTTAGGTAGGGCCTATTTAAAAAGGAAGACTCCCTTCATAACCTAAAAAGTGAGACTTAACTTGGTCATGGCAAGACATTAAAAATTTAATAAAATACTTACCTGTTGAGAGCTTCAACTGCTGATGGAGTTATTTCATTTCCTATGTGTATTGTACCACTTAAATCAATTAAAACTGATTTACACAATTTTTGACGAGTACCCATAGTTTGTTTTGGTTAGTCCTCTGCCTTCTTGATGTCATTGTTTTATCAGCTGTTAGTTCGATTTTCAGCTGTGTGGATTGGAAATGAAATGGTGAAGCTGTGGCTAGGCAAAACTATGCGCTGTTTCGTAAATTCCCTCATAAGATGATAATATTTAATGGTAAGTACATAATTGTGTTAAATTTAATTTACTTTGAGGCCTAAAAGTGGTCCAAATACGAAAATATCACGTATGAAGGCGTTTTTAGAGTATTACCAGCAGCGCTTCCACTGCTTACAGGAGTCGAACTCCGATGAAGGAACAAAGGTCTCCATAATGGATTGAGGTTAGAGTTCAATTTATTTTCTGCTCCCTACGTTTCAGTATAAAGATTTTAAATGTTCTTCAGTCGTTTGCAATTCCATATAAACAAATATCTTTCATTGAAATTATATTTTGGTAACTTAGTTTAGTCATAACTATCCAAACCCCCAAAATAGGATTGTAGTAAAAAGCTGAGGTGTTCCTCTGTCAGTGAAGTTTGAGGTGATGCCTAGGGTTAAATTTTCTGTTTCATATTTTATGTTTATTGCGTTATTGAGATTAATGAAATGCCATAAACCAACATTATATACGTTTAGAAGACTTCTTACATATAAATTAAGCATCCCAACTATCAAATTATGAAAAGCTCAGTTTAGGCCTTGGACTGTCTTTTGATATGGGCTAGACAATTTAGTTTTAACTTGGGTTTTGTTTGGTGAATTTGGAATACTATTCCATCAATTGACCAAGATAAAAACTTGTAAATAGTAGCCTACATAGCCTATTTTTGCTCAAGCTATTAACTTATATAGCTAAATCTAGAAGCCCATTTGTGTGATAGGCCTAATAACTTGGGTGATTATAAGGTGACTAGAAGTGACTAAAAGCAAACCTAGTCTTTAAGTAGGTCTAGGCATAGGCTACTTACAGCTGGCAAAAAGACTATTTCTCACTATAACTTCAATAACTTAACTTAATGTGTTTATTAATGCAATCCATTTAATGTAGCCTACCTATCTTTTCATGAGTGTATGATAAGTTAGGGTTAGCCTATTATATCGTGTATTTAAGTAGGTAATTTGACTAATGGTGTACCTAACTTAACTTAAAACTTAGCATTTATCTAGGGCTACTTAGGTCATTGACTTAAAATTTAATTCACATTAAAGCAAACTTCCAAACATTAACTTATCTACTTACCATACAATTTAGAACCAGTCCTAGCCTAGCAAGTTTATTCAGTTGAGATTCACTTTTTATTCTTTGGTAGGCCTAAAATGTCTCAGACCAGTTAAGTAGACCTAGACCTTAAATTGCTAGGACAACATAAAATTAAGTCTGAACCTAAGTGAAAACCAATTTCAGATAGTTAAGTTAAGTTAAATAGGGACAAAGCTAGGCCTAGTCATAATTAATTTTTCCAATAAGATAATTTTTCTAAACAAAGTTGAAGCCCTTTATCTTTAGGCTAGGCCTATCAATTAAGTCACGTTAACTTAACTTAATAACCGTGCTTAACGGTCCAAACCCATAACTTAACGTTTTGTGGGTGTGCCGGGAATCAAACCCGTTCTTCTCAAGAAGTCCGAAACGCTAACAACTCGCCCAAAACCTGTGATTGTGGTTTTGTTTTATTCTTACAAAATATGTTAAAAATGCTAAAGGTAAAGGAACAGACTACACAAAACAGACAGTAGGCCTATTTAGTGGGGTAGCTAAGTTGTTACAGTGCTCCCTTAAAAAATCTGAAGTTTTCCAGTTATAGCCTGATAAAAGTTACCGGTAGTTGCGTTTCGTAAGTTCATAAGTCAACCAAGTGTCCTTTGTCAAATCAGACCTGAGACCAATTATGTATTTTTAACAAGTGCCATTTGACCGGCTGTAATTCAAAAGCCAGACTTATTGTAAGTTCTTAAGGAATAGGCCTATGTCTGTAAAAATATAGGTGATGGAATTAGTTACGTTACATAATATGCATGAATATATATTAATGTTAAGCTTATGATAGTTTGAGGCAACCTTTAGACATTTTAATAATCTCAGTGGGAAACTTATCGATGCACTTGTCAGCCAAACCTGAGAAATTGTACGTAGGCTAGTGTTTGTTATTCTTGGACCATATCCTTATAAAATAACTTATAGGCTATCTAGCTCTAAGTTTTAATCATTTATCTGTCAATAGTATATTGTCAATAGGGGTTGACTGGTGCTCATTTCTAAATCTAAGCTTTAAAAATAGGCTAACCAAATTTTGTTAGGCTAAGATGGTTTGATGAAATTCTAAAAATAAAGAATCTAATGTTTTTTTATGCAATACTAAGGTCTAGTACAGTAGAACCCCTTATATCCGTCTTTGGCATTTAACCGACTCCTGAGGATGTCTGACCTTCTAGGCATAGGCCTACTTGTTCTGTCTGGAGCAATAACACTGACTAGTGACTGCTTTTGGTTTACTGAAAGTCAGAATGGTTTTGCAGTAGTTGTGGCAGACGATCACCGCTGTCGCTGGGACAGCCAGATAAGCCCACGGGTGTTGCCGCAATCACAAGTGTTGAATACCGGTGTCACCGAGACCGCGAGATATGCTCACAGGTGTTGCTGTGATCTTGGGAGACGATTAATGTTGTCACAGAGACTGCAAGCTATGCTTCTCCCGATGTCTGATTTTTTATTGTTCCGACCATGGCCACGTCCCGTCATAATCGGATATGAGGGGTTCTACTGTAGGTAAACCCTTTTAGGATACCTGACGCCTGATTAGATGGACCTTGTTGTTCAGCCTCATATAAATGGGCAAAGTTGTTTCTTAATCTATTTTTCTTTGTTAATCAATCGTTTGAATTGAAAGGCAGTAAATTTCACTAGCCAAGTCCCCCAACTGCTCATGACAGGGGAGAATTCCTGTTGCCCAGCTAATTTCTCAGTTGATTTGAATTTACTATGCAAGTAGCCCAGGTTTTGCTAAACGGATTGTGGTTAGGGCCTAAATGAGTTCTAAAACTTGCTGTAAATAATAGGCTAATACCGTATATATTTTCATTCTGTGGATATATTTTTAATCTTAGTTCTTTGTTTCAGGTGCAATGATACTTTGTTACCTGACTGCTCAACAGCTATATTATTCCTAGTATTTCAAAAAAAGAGTAAGTTCATTATTGTACCTATAAGAATAATAATCATTAGAGTTAAGTTTAATTGTACAACATTTAGAAACTATTTATTTATTTCGCCATTTTTCAGGGAATTGAAAATGATAAAAGTTAAAAGGAGGGATGCCTATTCAAAAACTAATGAGGATTTAACTTACCGTAATAATCATAAATTATGAGACCATTAGTTTTAAAGCAAAAATTTCTTAGTGTTGATGTTGGTATTACATCTTCATTAGTCTATATAATTATTATAGTGGTGGATAGGCAGAGTCCATGCAGATCCGCCACTCTTGTTCTATGGTCTTTTATTATACAAAGTCAACTTTTGTTAGCTAGATTGAGCATGGTAAGGTTAACCTGAATTTTAATTGTCCTGACTGTACAATACGGACTGCTGACTACAACCCTAAATTTGGTGTGGGAAACAAAGATTTGAGAATTGGAACTTGCATAACTGTGGGCTAGAATTATACTACCCAATTTTTATAATTATAATTTGAAAAACTGGCCTATTCTAAAAATAAATTTTTTAGGCTCTGAGCTATAACTAAAAATATGCTTTACCGTTATGAACAGCTTGACTTAAGTAAATTTTGATACAGGCGTTTTAGCATTACAATGCAATCAGGAATAGATTTCGGCTGAAGCAGTGTTGTCGAAGGTAAAACACGTAACACGTTCAAATATTTACAAAAAACAGATGGTCAAGTCACACATACTCTTCCACTTACTTCTGCTCCGATCCAAGCAAGATACTCCCGGGCTTGCTGTTGGTTCCAGTGCCCGTAGAATTAACGTTGAAATCACCTCTATGCGCTTGCGCAGCCAAAAAGTCCTGAGAAGGATTTTTTTTTAAGAGGCGATTCCAAAAAATCCGTCTGCAAACTCAAACGGTCTCCGGCAGACGGACGGATTCCTGTGTGCGTTGCCAGTGTTGCCACAATTGATAACATGGGGAGTGAATTTTAGTCCGCCCGTCTGTGAGAGTCTGTCTGTCTATGTGTGCGCCGGCCTTTATATTATAGTTTGTTGTTTAAAATTATTCTTACAAATTATTTTTGGTGTAGGCTTTAGGTCTGTAATCTTTGAATTTGTCTAGAGCGCCCAGCCCTGTCTATTGTCTTTCTTACTTTTACAAAGTGTAACCCATTCTGTCGGCCTTAGTTTGTTTTATTAATAGATATTACCATTAACAATAGAATATTTTAATCTGTCTTCAGCCTGTCTTTGGGATTTAAAAATATTTTGTAGGTGTAAGCAACTTTGGAACAAATCAGGGTTAAGATTTGTTTGTTATTAGTCTATAATAGATTTCCTTTGGCAGCAGTTTTCTCATAGGCTACGCTTTTATGTTGAACCATCTACTCCGTGTGCATACAATAGAACCCTGCCCATCTGACCTCAGCTAGTCCGACTCCTCACATAATCTGACCGTGTAATTTGCCAATTGGTGACAATGTTACTACGGTAATATCAAGCAGGTTTCCCATGGTCGTGTGGACATTGCATCACTGTCTTCCGCAATCGCTGAAAAGATGTTGTTTATCCCCCGCTGTCACGGTCACATCATTATCATCTTCAGGATATCTTTTCACTGTTCCGACAAAGGTCCCGGTCCTGTAGGTGACAGATTAGCGATTTTGTTCTGTGGTAAAATTTTCGGTCTATATGTGGATTAAGGAGTTGTACAGGCCTACCATATAAAATTTTATTTTTTAAAACCGATTTTGCCAACACTTTTGAGTAATGTAGGCCTACGCAAGAGATTCCAGCTGCTTTTGGTTTACCGACAATTGTTAACCCATTGACTAAAGCACGGGTCACACTAGGCTGGCATCAGCGGCGAATCGAAAGAAGCCGCGACTGTCAGCTTAATGTGACCAAAAAATTCGCAGCTGACATTGGGCTGACACAGCCTGGATTGGTGAGCCGGTGATGCTGGTGCCAGCTGCTGATCAACAGCGGCTGGCAAACAGCCTGGTGTGACCCGTGCTTTAGGGGTCCATCCCATGACCGTATTTCTCCATGAGATAGTAGTAGGCCTACTGATAACCTGCTGGCCCTCAATTACTAGCCTACATCGAATCTAACCAAAGAGCACTACAGTAATGTTGTTGTATAGGGCATACTTATACTGGCAAGCCCTATTTAAGACCCGTACTGGCAACACCCCTTCGGCCGACGGGTGGCATGGTAGCTCAGTTTGCTTTGCACTGACAAGCACTGCTGCAGTCTTTCAACATGCCGGGTTTGAATTCTTTACATCTATGCAATCAGTATTGAGTTTGCCAATTTGGAGAGTGGAGAACCCACCTTAAAAAAATAAATGGTGTCCGGGCTTAGGATGGAAGTTGACGGCATTAGTGAGTAATAAGGATTGCACACAACAGCTGTTTTGCTTCTTTTTACATTGTTGTAGAGGAGGACGGATATTTCATTTTTAGCTTTTATTTGGTTAAAAATGGATGTATTGTGTTGCAATACACAGGCCTATATAGTAAAATTTATTAAAGGACATACATAAGGATAAAAGGACCTAAAAAGTTATAAATAAATAATTAAAAAAAATCTGTTGTAAATGGGTTTAAGGGAATATAGTGTAATCTGCAAATCTTGTGAGAACCTCTGATTTATTTTCAGTTATTGACTTTTATCATTCTTATTTCTCTTGGCTTTGTGTATTGTCGTTGCTCATTGGTTTTGACCCATACAAAATTTCCGTAACACTACTTTTGCGCTTCAGAATACTTTTACAAGACTTTCGAAAGCATCAGTGCTTATGGTTACAGTTATTGTTTGGCCAAGTATTAATTCCCTGGATTAGACTTTGGCTTAAATATGTAATATTTTCATGACTAATAATATAGGCCTACTATTATAGGTCTGATTAAATGAAAAGTAAACAATCAACTTTTAACTTTTAGGTTTGTTTTCAGTTTAAGTTAGCATGGCAGTCTTTAAATTAAGAGAAACTGATAGATTTGTTAATACGGTAATAGCAAAATTGCAACCTACAAACGCTTAAGAGATGTGTAGGTAAGTGAGTAAACAACTTTATTAAGTCAACAATTTGATTTTTGAGAACAAAAGAAGCGAAAATTGCTAGCTGGCCCTATATAAAGATTCAATAATAGCCTACTGTTGCTGATTGCCTTTGTTTAGGATTAAAGTGCAATTAAAACAGTGTTTTCTTTGAACTAGTTGTCTTAGCAATGTCTCGGTGATTAGCACAATACTGGTGGTGGTTGGGAGTTATTTTTTCAGAGGTTGGTAGCCACTTTTTATCTTGCACTTGGCTGTTCACATTAGACCTTGTGGCTGTGTGTTTATTAATTGTTTCCAGTAAAGCAAAGGGTAAGCCTATACAGTCAAGAGTAAACTGTACTGATAAAATTTAGTGAGAGCCCCAGTACGCAAACACATTACATAGCTGTTATAGATTCATAGTCCAATGTGCTACCAACTGAGCCTCCGTCTCAACCTAAAAACCCTCTCAGTATTTTTTGACTGCCAAACACTGTCCCCTAATTTACAGTTGCAGCCAGAATCAACTGAGCACCATTGTAAGCCCAATAAAAGTATATATATGGTCCCCCCCCCCAAAGTATACTTTATAAATAATCACAGCAAACTAAACAAAAACCAAATTCTTCTTGAATTTAGGTTATTGAAGTAAATGTACCTTACTTAAAGGTATACTTGTGTCTGATTCTTATCAATAATACAATTTGGTTTGGTCTAGGTTAGGTTACCATCAAACATGACCATACTATTAATCAGGGCTTCATCTCATCTAACTTTTGTAGCTAGAATTTGTCTCTTGATCCTTAGAACTACTCTATATATATCGTTGAAATAACATAATTGGCTAGCTATTTCAATTTGTTTAGACATAATTGTATCACGACTAGAGTTTGACAACAATTAACATGCTAAGAAATTCTCAGCTACACACAGATGTAACTGGAGAATTGCTCTCTGATCGGCTGATGTCTGGAGATGCAGAGCGACAATTCATTTGATACCATTGTCACTCACAATTATCAATATTCAATCCGAAAAACAAACACAGTATACAAAGTGCACAGCAAGAACTAGGACTACTCGGGAGAACGCACGACATCCGACAAAAAAACAAAGAGTGGGTGAGCCCCCATTTGGTCGTGTACGCCACTGTGAGCACGACAGTCGTGGATCACAGTGGCAGTGGACGACTGCACCACGACAGTTTGTCGTGGTCGTACAGTGGGCGAGCGCTCATAAGATCCAATTTTCACTATTGGAATGTGGTTGGTCCGACACAGTGTGGTACAACTGAAATCGTATAGTGGGTGAGGGGCCTAAGGCCTAATATGTCACTAGAGTCAAGCTCATCACCTTCTCCCTCACACATAAGGGCTTTTGTTATTTTATATTTTAGTTAGGCCTATCAGTCATGTAGGTTTAGCCAATGTTAATCTTTGAGCCATCAGTTTAAAAAGTGCAGTAGCAGAAATGCAAGTAGAATTTTTTAAATCATTAGTTTCCAATTGCCTTCAATTGTTGGATCAAAATTGTTGTTTTTCCATTTCAAGCCATTTATTACATAATTTATCATTCGTAAAATTGTCATCTTGTCCCTTGGTTTTGGATCATATCATCACATTTTATATTTATAAAATGAACTAATAGACGTCTTTTGATTGTTCCAGGAATACTATGCCTCCTCCTGCACGTCCTGGAAGTCTGAAAGACCCTGAGATTGCTGACCTCTTCCAGAAAGAAGATCCTGAAAAAATCTTTGATGATCTTCGAGAAATCGGCCATGGAAGTTTTGGTGCTGTCTACTATGCCCGTTGCCTTATCACCAAAGAAATTGTCGCTATCAAGAAGATGTCGTATTTGGGTAAACAGAGCTTGGAAAAGTGGCAAGATATCTTAAAAGAAATTCGTTTTTTGAGGCAGTTGAACCACCCTAACACAGTTGAGTACAAGGGGTGTTACTTACGCGACCACACGGCATGGTTGGTCATGGAGTATTGCCTCGGTTCTGCTTCAGACATAATAGAAGTTCATAAGCGACCACTTAAGGAAGAGGAGATTGGTGCAATCTGTGAAGGAGTTTTGCAGGGTTTGCATTATTTGCACTCCTTGGATAGAATTCATCGAGATATAAAAGCAGGTAATATACTTCTCACCGAAAATGGAACAGTCAAGCTGGCAGACTTTGGCTCTGCCAGCATCAAGTGCCCAGCAAACAGTTTTGTGGGCACCCCGTATTGGATGGCCCCTGAAGTCATCCTTGCCATGGACGAAGGCCAATACGACGGCAAAGTCGATGTCTGGTCACTGGGAATCACTTGTATAGAACTTGCTGAGAGAAAGCCGCCATACTTCAACATGAATGCTATGAGTGCTTTATACCACATAGCGCAGAACGATACTCCCGTTCTTCAGTCTCCTGAGTGGAGTGACACTTTTAGGCATTTTGTTGATTCTTGTCTGCAGAAAAACCCATTAGAACGACCCACTTCTGGGAAACTTCTATCACATTCATTCGTTGGTAGTGGTAGGTCTCCTCATGTTTTAATAGACTTGATTCAGCGAACCAAAGCAGCAGTTCATGAGCTAGATAACCAAAATTATAGAAAAACAAAAAAGATCCTTATGATAGATTCTTGTGAAAGTGAAAGCACAGTAGGAGATCCCGACGACACACCCGATGAACAGACTGGAGCAGATAGCAGCAAGAGTGACAGCATAACATCTGAACATTCTGTGCAGTCAATGGGCGTAAGTGCTTCGTCTCAAGGCAGCTCTACAAACAGCATTCCACCAGCACCCGAAGTCAACCATGACAATTACCCTCCCTCCATGCGGAACCGTCACAAAGGGAGCAATTCTAGTGCTTTGGTGGAGCATGGGCCTAACAATTTCGCAACTCTGAGAACTACTTCGATCGTCACAAAACAGCAGAAAGAGCATATGCAGGAAGAAATGCACGAGCAGATGACGGGATACAAGAGAATGCGCAGAGAGCAGCAAGGTGCGTTGATCAAGTTGGAGGAAAAATGTAAAGTCGAAATGGACAATCACAAGCAAGTGTTGGACAAAGAGTATGAAGCTCTCTTGCAACAGTTCAGCAAAGAGTTGGAAAAATTACAGATAAAACATCAGCAAGAGCTCGAAAAGAAAATGAAACACAATGCTTCAGCTGAGAAGAAACTTTACAAAGAAATCAGCAGCCGTCAAGAACAGGATAGGAAAGTGTTTGATGCTCAGAGGAAGAAGGAATTCAAGGCGAATAAAGAAAGGTGGAAACGGGAACTCAGTCAAGACGATTCAACACCTAAAAGACAAAAAGATGCCGCACTCCAAAGTCAGCAAGAAAATCTGAAGCAGATAGAAGCGAGAGAAGAGCAAAGGTTAGTATTAGGCCAAAAAGAGTATTTGGAATTGGAAATAAGAAAATTTCACCGTAAAAAGTTGCTGGCTTTCCATAGTCTAGAACAAGAACTGTTAAGGGAAGAATTGAACAAGAGACAAACACAGTTAGAGCAAGCTCACTCAATGCTATTACGCCATCACGAGAAAACCCAAGAATTGGAATATCGTCAACAAAAAGCAGTTCACCAATTGAGAGAAGAACAGGTTTTAAGACAGCATCAAATAGAGCAACAAAATCAGCATGACTACATGACACGGGCAGAGAGAGATCTCAAAAAGAAGCACGCTTTGGAGTTGAAACAACAACCGAAAAGCTTGAAGCAAAAAGAAATGCAGATTCGAAAACAGTTCAGAGAAACATGCAAGATACAAACCAGACAGTATAAAGCTCTCAAAGCGCAGATTCTTGCTACAACACCGAAAGATGAACAAAAAGCAGTCATAAAAAAGTTAAAAGAAGAACAGAGGCGCAAACTTGCACTGCTTGGAGAGCAGTATGAGCAGAGCATTGCTGAAATGCTCCAGAAGCAGTCAATTAGACTGGACGAGTCACAAGAAGTAGAATGTCAGCATCTTAAGGATAGGCTGCATTACGAGCTTGAGATCTTGATGGCATATCAAAGTAAAAACAAGATGCAAGCCGAGGCTCAGAGGAATAGGGAGAGGAAGGAGCTTGAAGATCGAGTTGCAGTGAGGAAGTCACTTCTCGAGAGGAAAATGGAGATGGAAACGACACAGTTTCTTCAGGAACGATCGGAGAGGATTCGTCTCCTTCATGAGAGGCAAGACAGAGAATTGGAGGATTTTGATGAGGAGTCAGCGAGGCTGGGATTCAGTGCTCTAGCGATCGCAGAAGCTTCCAAGGAGTCTTATCCTGATGACGATAGCCTCTCCGGCAGCATGCTCAGCCTAGCGCATAGCAACTGTCCCAACCCCTAGTCGTAACAAATCAATATGTACATTAACAGTTTTTAGAAGCATTTTTAATTTAGGAACATTTGATTAATGTTTGTAAGCGATTTATATATGCATTCAATATTAAATTGTGTAAAATAGCGATGTGGGAAGCATAAAAAGTATGTACAGTTAACTCTAAATTTGCAACGATAAAGAAATGGCCCAGCCATTTTACACCATAGCATTAAAACCGTTATGGTATAAAGAATTCCTTAAAGTATAAGGTTTAAATAACTTATAGATATATATTAAAGCTTAAAGGTCTATTCAATATAAATTGTAATTTTAGATTTACCTATGCAAAGACATATTTTCACTTGTAAATGAGTCATTGTCATTAAGTTTGTACTCTGTGACGGATATAAACACTTTTTTTGTTTTTTTCTAAAACAAGGTTTTTTTATTCGTTCAAACCTTAAAAGCTATTTTTTTGTCCTACATAACACAATAATTAAAACCTTCAGACTAGGCTTGTAATAATACATATAGAAATAATAAGCATACTGTACAAAAAACATCACTCATTCAATAATAAAAAATGTAACTTAAAATAGAACTCTTAATTCATTAAAATGTACTGTAACATATGTTCAATTATTGAATTGTGGATTGACTACTGAATATCATACATCGGGTATTATTTTTCATTGGATGTGTGACACATTAACAATTACAATTTTTCTAGTAGCGAAAATTGATTCCAGGACATTTTAAGGCTAGGCCTATCATAATAAAATAAAAATAATGAATCTATCTTTTGGGTTGATACTAAAATGAATTGGAAATATGGACACATATTATTAATTTAGATTTAATAGCTTCAATTGTAATAACAACAAATGTTGTGTGCTTAAAATCACATTTAGTTCTGTTGATTGAAGTATATTCATTTGCTAATTTTACTTTTTACTTTAAACATATATAATTTAAAATATTTTGTCATATATTTAAAGTACACAATTTTTATAAAAATAATAAGCTTATTATTGGTTTTATTGTGCAATAAGTTACAGGCAGACGGTGATTCAACATGAGTGATAAACATATGAACGCAATATTATTGATGATATTTTACCCCATCTTGAGGAATGAAGTAAAATTGATAAAGATTTGTTTCTAAATATTTTAAACCTTAATATAACTTGATTAACCACTTGTATAAATTTGTATTGCAATATTATGTAGGTTTATTGCAATATGCTGACACATTTCTGAATAGACTAGATAATATTATATAAATATTATATATAAGGAACAATAAATGCTGATGTCTTTGTAATCCTTGGTATAACAAGTCACATGTTTTTATGTGATGTTTTTATATAGAAAATAATTAAGCCTAATATTTTGTACATAGTAAATAAACGCTTTTGTCATGCATGAGTGATGGGAAATTGTTTTAATGGCTGATAATCCTTATTGTTCGTTTTGTAGGATGAGATGTGTGGTTCATATGCAGCTTTAGTGTGTCCTCCGATTAGCACTTTTAGAAGGAGAATAAATTAATTTTAATCTCAAACTTGTGTTTATCGATGTAAAATATTTTATACATATAATTTATTTGTTTTCTTCAGTTTTACACTTTATGTAGTTAATTGTCTTTTTTTCACTTTTAGTAAAACTTGGTGTTTTTTTTTAAGATAGTGAAGAGAACCCTCGTGGAATGATCTTAAGTTTGTGCTGGTACATTTTAACGTTTCCCAATTAATTAAAACAATTTCCTATTTTTACATTAATTCTATAAATATTTAAGTTAATCATTAGTGTAGAATTTATCGCATTATAAATATATTGCTTTATAAACAGTGTTATTGTTATATATTCATCTTTGCCCACATTCTAATGTAATATTTTTTAACAACACTTGAAAATTCTTTTATTGGTTACTTCTAATTTGTCTCGTCCTCGTCTTGTTTGGGTTTAAATGTCACTTTTTACATTTTTTGTAATATAGGAAATCTTACAAGCACTCTTTTGGTTTGTTTAAAAAAATATGTCTAATTTTATGTTAGCCAATTGCTGAAATATTTATTATAATTCATGCTTACATTATTAAACATTTCTCAAATTAGATCTTTTTATTTTTTCAAACTCCAATTCTCCTTTTTAATCCTAGTGATGTAAAGACTGGTCACTCTTTTACATTTCATTTTGGTTTTTGGTACATTCCATCCAGATGGGTTCGCAACTGGATTACCTTATTAAGAATGAAGGATAAGTAGTGTAGGATGCAGTGAAATACTTGTACCATTGATAGCTGTTTCTTTTGACAGAATTGTTTTTAAAGGTTCAATGATAAAACACATCTTGGTCCAATTTCATACAAACAAAAAGCTACTGATCTTATCCAAGACCACACTAAAAAAACAGGCCGTAATGCTCGTCAAGCATGACGTCACGATAGAAGACGGCAATGACGTAATGTTTAATATTTTGTGACAAAGGGTATTTCTTTATTTATTTTCCAAGGGAAGATTAAAACAAGCAGCTACAAAAAATAATGAAAACAGTTTACAAAAAGAGAAGATACAAAGATACAGCTACAAATTATTAAGTTCCTCAGATAGGAGCCAGTGTAGTAACTTAGAGTGCCGGGTATGCATCAGATAATAGACGTTATTCAAATGTATAACAGTGAAACTATACTGTGTAGGGGTGCTTTCATTGAAGTGTGACACTTTCAAACCCAGAAGAATGAATGTATAGTGTAGATGTTTATTGTTTATACCAGCGAACACATAACAAAAATTATTATGTGCTCGCTGGTTTATACACCTAACTTGGCCAAGAATAGAGTTCCAGGCAGATGAAAAAAAACCAGCTCCATATGACAGCGACAGGGGCTTAAGAGTTAGGACATTCTAAGGTAAATTACATTTGTAATTGTAGGTAGTATAAAGGTTCACTAGCTAAAAGGTAGTGCAAAATGAGTTTAAGCCTGAAATTCAAAATAAAAACATGTATACAACCATTGAGTCATTGAGAGTTGTACATCCCATCTATATGGATCAGCTGTCGCCAATTTTTTACTAAAAAAGAATGTAGTTGTGTGAGCCAGTCAGAGATTGCACTAGTGTCTAAAACTCTATTTTGTACCTTATTTTTCGTTACTGACAAACGGTAAACTACGTCATTGCCGTCTTCTATCGTGACGTCATGCTTCACGAGCATTACGGCCTGTTTTTTTAGTGTGGCCTTGTCTTATCCCAGGATCAAACCGTGACTATGGATGGAGTAGCCAACATTTCAGGTCCAGGTTTAATTAATCAATTTAATTATAGCTTTTTATAACGTTTCCCTTTGAACACAAAATCAAAATTCTAAAAAATTTGTTTAATGTTTGTTTAGGCAAGTAAAGAGCAATAAACAGGCAGGCTATGACCACAAAGAATACACATATCCCTTCAACTGCCACCTTTTTTAAGGTGGGACTATCACACCAAGCTCTGTCAGACCTAATTGAGATAGGAGCCAGTGTAGTAACTTAGAGTGCCGGTTATGCATCAGATAATAGACGTTAGGGCTATTCAAATTTGTAACAGTGAAACTATACTGTGTAGGGGTGCTGAATACACCTAACTTGGCCAAGAAAAGAGTTCCAAGCAGATGAAAGCACACAAAAAGTTCACAATACAATTAACTTTATATTTTTCTCGACTGAGGGCTTCCTCAGAAGAAAATAGTAGGGTGTAGAAAGTAGTCAACTTTGATTCTTAACAAAACTTAAGTAGATTATACTTTGGGTGGCCAAACACTTCTTTGGTTGACTTAAAATGAGTTGCTGTCACACGGAGCTTGTTTCAGCAGCTAGTTCTCGCTGCGAAATCCAGCAGCTTTAGTTGCTAGTTCTCCATCGCGCTAGAAGTCCTGTCAGACGAAGCTGGAGATCTAGTGCTACAACTACAGGTCTGGTGATGTGATGGGACTGTTTGTGTAGTTACCAAAAATAATGTCGTATGTTGGTTTTTGAAGTTATGTTTTGACTATGATCAGCCATCATAACTGCGAGAAAATTATGGCAATGCATGAAAACATGAAGTTTTAAATTTGTTCTTGATTAGTTGAAATGTATTAAATTATTTAAATTCATTTTTCTTACTGCGAGAACTAGCACGATACTGTCAGATGGAGCTGGAATGGCACTAGAGACCACAGCTGGATGGGCACATGACGTGCTAGTGACTGACTCTTCAAGCCCTTGTAATATTCAACTGTTTAAACCCTCCAGTGGCTAGAGATACCAGATCATGCCAGCAGCTAGAGATACCAGATCATGCGAGTGTTTCTAGCAGCTCACACAATGCTGATTCTAGCTGCTAGTTACTAGAGGTGAAAAAACCAGCTCCGTGTGACAGGGGCTTAAGAGTTAGGACATTCTAAGGTAGATTACATTTGTAATTGTAGGTAGTATAAAAGGTTCACTAGCTAAAAGGTAGTGCAAAATGAGTTTAAGCCTGAAATTCTAAATAAAAACATGTATACAACCAACACGATCCCTGGAGTCGGCAACGTTGCTGAACACTAATTGCACCACTCAACAATTAAGTTGGCGTGAACAGCTGATTAGTTGAACTCAAATCATTACAATTTTACTCCTTCTCTCTCAATCCTTGAACCTCATTGGTCCGTTACCCGTGTTGTTGAGCAAAAATGAGTAAACAATGCTGTAATGTGAAACTTTTCAAAACTAAGAACTGAACTGAAACAGCTACTTTAAAAAACGGTCGTAGGTAAAATATGTTACGTCACTCGTCCAAAATGTGTTTACCGGACTCGTATGGTATTGGTTAACGACCACACTCGTCCGGTAAACACCTATTTTCAGGACTAGAAACGTAATATACTATAGTATTAATTAACTCTCTTGACAGTTTCTTAGTCCCCTCGAAAATAGATTTAAAAAATATGATATTCTTTGAAAAAGCTAGTAGGGGGTATTTTTTAAAACTTTTTTACTGTTTTTAAGATGCTCACATGAGCTCTGTTGCAGTCCAAATGTAGCATGTTCTTCGCCCACAAATTCATAATTTAGATTTTCAAAAGAAAATTTACATTTTGAAGGTAATTTTATAGAATGGTAATAGCATTGAAAGAGTCTTCTTCCAATTCCAGTTTAATTTAATATTAAGTTTGTCTTTTGTTTTCACCACAAGACATGTTCTTCGCCCACAAGTTCATAATTTAGATTTTCAAAAGAAAATTTACAGTCTGGAGGTAATTTTATAGAATGCTAATAGCATTGAAAGAGTCTTCCAATTCCAGTTTAATTTAACCCTTCCAGGGCTAAATTAAATGAAGGGCTGGAGCCAAAAATTAAAAACTAAAGTGGTTGTGTTTTGTACTTATTTCACTTGAAATAATTCATGGATCATAAAAAGATTTTCCTTAGGGCTGAACTAATTTTTGTACAGAAGTTATGAAGAAAATAAAATTTGATTTGACGGATATATCCGTCCCACAAAAAACATAAGGTGGACGGATATAGGGCCAAAGACGGATATATCCGTCAACCTTAGGCTATTCCATCCCTTGTTTTATTTTTTATCCATAAAAATGTATCTATCATTCTGAGCTAAATCTAAACCACTCAGTTCCGCTCCCATGTCCTCAATCTCATTCCCGGCCAAGACTTCCACTGTACCTAAAGACTGTTCTTCAGGTTCATCATATCCCATCACATTCCATACTATTATTTTCACTGCCAAGTATAAAACCCCCCTCAGACATACTTTTATTAAGCATCTCAATAACATCTTCAAATTTAAGATCATTTGCATTAGTAATTTTAGCTGAGTAACATAAAAATAAAGTACAAAACACAAAATGTAAACCTCACTCACTAACAACCATGTGTGAAGTGACAGCAATATTTACTTAGCACACTCTATGGTGCAAAATAGTCGAAACATCCTTGGCAATTATTATTGCCAACCACAAAAACAAAATAACCCATTTATAATGCAGTGTAATGTTTATGTATATATATCTGTCTTTATCCCAGAAAAGAAATTTCTCGGGACGGATATATCCGTCCATAGCCTTGGAAGGGTTAATATTAAGTTTGTCTTTTGTTTCCACCGCAAGACCTTTTCAAAACATCAATTTTAATCAATCTCAGGGAGCATGGATGATGAGATGTGGTGTCTTTCTTTTTCTTTACGTTATTCCGTTGGTATTAGCATTGACTATTGGATATTTGGTAACCAGGAACAAATATTTACAAGAAAGTTTCTGTGCAGTCAGGGATCGAACTTGTCCTTCCTACACTCTGGTTCGAGGTCCAAAAACTAGTAGCTTTAGCAACACACACTGCAGTTAAGATTTAATATTTGATTTCATATTCATATGTTCAAAATAAGCTACTGATAGTTTGGAAATCTGTTTAATTGTATAAATTGTTTTAAGAGGAGGTTTGGTTGTGTAGTGTCCTATATAATAGACCATTGGAGCTCAGAGTTAAATAACCAAATAAAGTTAAATAAGAGTTAAGAATAATTCAACCATTAATATTTGAGGTAAAATAAAAACTGCGGTTTAAGTCAAATTTTTGAAAATTTATTTCAAATATTCAACATATTATTATCAAAAAGGTAATACTTTTAACAGGTTTATTCGAAAAATTAAAATGACCAAGCAAGATATATGTATATAAATATATTTATATTTTATACAGGGATGACTTTGATAGCTTCAATACTTCAAATACTTAGAATATATACTGAGTCGATTACAAAGCTATGATAATAGTCTATAAACATTTTTACACACAGGCTATCTACAGTACAAAATGTATTAATATACAACAATAATCTATAGAAACAACTTATCCGAACAACACTAGAGTGTTAGCTTTGTAAATTATTCAGTATAACTTTCTTCTTATAAAGGTATCTCACATGCCAACCAAAGTTCATTCTTCTAAAATATGTTTTTGAGCTTAAAAAATAATTAAAACAATTTAATTGATGCTTACCGTACAATAGCGCAACACATATTATTGGGCCAGCAAACAATAATCTTTTAGTTTCAAAAAAGTTATCATTGTTTTA